AGGGGACGGAGGGGGGAGAGGGGAGGGTGGGGGGTGGGAGTACAGCAGTCAAGTCAGGGGTCGTATGAAGAGAACTGAGATGTACACAATCCTAGACCTATCTTAGTACCAGGTAGGATACCCTAAGCAGTTGAGTGTTCGGTCATTTGATGAGAATAATGATTGATCAGGAAATTAAGATAGAATATCGGGCTAGAGAAAAGTCTTAGGATGGAACATGCACACGCGCGCAGGCTTACAGTCACGTGCATAATATAAATGAACAGTAATATAAAAAATAATACATACTCAGTATTCTGACTGTCAGCAGCTGATTTTTTAAAGTTTCAGTAGAGATTTTTAGGCGCTTGCAACTGCATATGGCCTTATGAGCGCCAGAAGATTATAGGTGTTACAAGAGAGAAACGAACATAAAAAAGGAGGGGAGATAAGGACTATAGGTGTTTGTTAGGAAAGAAGGAGCAAACCACACCAGAGCACCCGCCAACCACCCACCTGTCTGATTAAGCGCTCATACACTAACAAACTAACCACCAAGGATATAGTATTCCTCCATTACCTGCCGCGGAAACGAACCGTAGATCCTGACGGCCTCGCGGTGAGGAAGGATGTGAATCATCACGCAGTATTTGAAAGGTCTGGGCGGGGCGGGAGAGATCATGGCCGGGAAAATCAGGTACCTCTCCTCGTACTTGTTGGGGTCTAGGGGAGGTTTGGTAGGGTATGGTGTGGTATGGTATGGTGCGGTGTGGTAAGGTATGGTAGGGTATGGTGTGGTAGGGTATGGTGTGGTATGGTAGGGTGTGGTAGGGTATGGTGTGGTATGGTATGGTGTGGTGTGCTAAGGTATGGTAGGGTATGATGTGGTATGGTATGGTGTGAGGTGGTAAGGTAAGTAGGGTATGGTGTGGTACGGTATGGTGTGGTGTGGTAAAGTATGGTAGGGTATGGTGTGGTATGGTATGGTGTGGTGTGGTAAGGTATGGTAGGGTATGGTGTGGTATGGTGCGGTGTGGTAAGGTATGGTAGGGTATGATGTGGTATGGTATGGTGTGAGGTGGTAAGGTATGGTAGGGTATGGTGTGGTATGGTATGGTGTGGTGTGGTAAGGTATGGTAGAGTATGGTGTGGTATGGTATGGTGCGGTGTGGTAAGGTATGGTAGGGTATGGTGTGGTATGGTATGGTATGTTCCGGGGTGGTGTGGTGTTGTGTGGTGCGGTGTGGTATGGTATGGTAGGGTAGGGTGTGGTATAGTATGGTATGTTCCGGGGTGGTGTGGTGTGGTGTTGTGTGGTGCGGTGTGGTGCGGTGTGGTGTGGTATTTCATTGTGGGGTGTGGTATGGTATGGCATTGTATGTTATGGTTCATGTATGTTATGGTATGATATGGTATGGTATGGTATGGTATTGTATGATATGGTATTGTATGGTAGGGTAGGGTAGGGTAGGGTAGGGTATGGTATGATGTGGTATGGTATGGTATGGTGTGGTATGGTATGGCCCTGTATGGTATGGTATAGAATGGTATGGTTTTTGTATGGTATGGTATGGTGCAGTGTGGTTTAGTGGGGTGTGGTGTGGTGTGGTGTGGTGTGGTG